AGAGCTGCCCTTGATGAACACATAACTGCCCCAGCTAAGGGATGTCACATGAATACCACATAAGGTGATATTCTTTCTATAAAGACAGTTCTACCATTTGTGCAATACTTTGAGCAATGGTAATAAATTACTTTGAAGGGTAAAATATTTATCTGGTTCTAAAAGTTCAAGAATATTTATTTTAAAATTAAGTTATGTCACTAGAAAGACACATTTTACATTCTCAAAAAGGGACTTCACGGAAATCACAAACTATTATTATAAGTCCTGCATACTAAAAAAATAAAATAAAAACCAAAAATGTCCTGCATATTCAGTGGGACCAACATGTTCACTGTCAGGAAATTTTATCATAGAAACTACATTGCTCAAAATCAGTAGAAACAGGTCAAAAAAAGAGATAATGGCTACTTGTACATCTATCTGCAAGTGCCTCAAACATCTCTGAGATTATTTCCCTTGGTTCCTCTCCTTTCTCCCTGCAAATCACCTCTTCCTATATTCCTCATTTGGCTAAGCTACTACTGTCTTTCAGCCACTCAAGTCAGAGATCTGACAGCCATCCTAGACTCTTCAGTCGCCCTTATTTTACCCCATTTCTGATTGGCCACCAGTTCTGTTGGTTCTATCTTGTAGAAGTATGTCACCTCCATTCCCTTCTCTTCATTTCCCATAATTCTTTCCTGGTTCAGAGATGTCATGTGTGTGAAGACTAAGGGGACAGAGTGGGAAAGAACCTGGGAGCTCTTTCTGGCTTACACAGCAAAGGACCCAGTGGGCCTGTATCACCACCACCCCCACCCCCAGCAAGAGGGCTGCACCTGAACTCAACTTCCCACAGGCCCCATGGTTTCCTCTTCTGAGCTAGAGAAGCTGCAGTTTCCCATGACACCTGAAGCCCATAGGTGCTGGGCTTTCCAAAGAGCCCTGCACACAGTTGATATCTAAACTCAAGCTGCTTAGCACCAAAGCAGTCTTTCTTTCTTTCTTTCTTTTTTTCTTTCTGGCAGCTAGTTGGTATGGGGATCCAAACTCGACCCTAGTATTATAACACCATGCTCTGACCAACTGAGCTAACAAGCCAGCCCCAAAGCAGTCTTTTTATTCCTACTCTTACAGCCACTCCCACACTTGCCCCATAAAAAAGGAGAGCAACAAAGGGGCCCTGTCACTTTGGGGGATGCCCTGCGCTGGAGCAGAGACAGTGCAGCCAGCTGAGTTTGGGTCCCATTGCACCCCTTTGCAGAGTGCTGCCAGACTCAGCTCCTCTTGCACCTGTAACTTCTGACAGCAGCAAGTGCCACCACTGTGTTTGCTCCTCTCCTTCGCTCCAAACTATTGTCTATTCTTTTGTCCTCTGCTAACTATGTAACACACACATCAGACCAATCATTTCCTGCCTAAAACTTTCTTCTGTAGAATAAGATCCAAATTCCTCAGCGTGATATACAAGGCCCTGAACAGTCTAGCTCCAACTTTCCTTTGAACACTCATTGTCTGCCATCCCTTTCCTCCTCCATCCCCCGTTTCTCACTGTCATACACACACACACACACCTGCGCTATCCTCCACCCTTCCCACCACTCCCCAACAAACCAGATATACTCACAACTCTGTGCACTTGTCTTTGCCAGAAAAACTCATTGCCACACTTCCACCTATAAGACAAATTGATACAGAATACAAATACTCCCTCCTCGGTAAAACCTTCCCTGACTCCCCTTTGGAGACATGGCCCCTGCCCAGTCTTGTCTCACAGCAAGACAATTGTATTACAATCCTCCTCTTGGTTGAGTTCAGGGACTGTGACTGTGCATGCCTTGCTGGTCTTCGTTGCTCTTCACCTAGCTGAAGGCCTGGAACATAGTATACACTCTATATTTGTTGAAGGAATAAACAAATGTATAAAATAATGTCATCTCCTTGATGCATCAATCTGAATATTGTTAATAACACTTTTTGCCTTATGTCCTCAATGTAGTCATTATTCGACTATCATTAATCTATCATTATTTGCTCTTAAAAGGGTTTCACTGAGGATGAATCTGGAAGTTCCTCTACTACTCTGTAGGTTTTTATATGCAGAGTCGCCTAAAGTAAAATTACAACGTGTGATGAAGAGTCTCTTCTGAAAAACTCACCTGCAGCTCAGTGTTAGCCCCCAAAGTGCATTTTCCTTAAAGTGTACTTTAAACAATAATATAAATGCTTATAGGACATCAAACATCAAACTAATATTAGTGGTAAGAACAATAATAATTTCCTTCGAAGTAACAGATTGAAGCCAAGAAACAGACAAACCAATTGACATGCAGTCAGAATTTTATATTTTTCATCAGAAAAACAATTCGCTACCAATGACAAATAATAGTAAGGCCAATAAAACTACTTGTCACGCATCTAATGAAGACAGATTCTCTGGCTACCACATATAATATGTAATATCCAAAAGCACGGCTGTAATTCACAGCTAATTAGTGTCTTGCCATTATGAGAGGTGTCATGGCCCTAACTCTCTTTTCTGATCTATTCAGACCTCACAAGAGCCAACAGCCATGCAAGGATCACAACAACCCAATTAGCACCCACCCCAACCTTGGGCTGCTGCTTCTCAGAGTCTGCTTCAGCATCGATAAATCATACTTCCTCGTGAAGCTCTCCTGTGACAGCTGCAAACCACTACCGCCCAAGGAATAAAGACAATACTTCTAAGGAAAGACAGAGATAGAAAAGGGATATTATTTCTCTTCCTTGAGCAGCACAACAGTCAGCAAAATTGAAGCCCATCAATTCTGACTGATTAAGAAGACAACTATACCAAGAAATACATCCATGAGTGGCATGTCTGAAGAGCCTTAATGATAATCAACAGTCAGCAAGTGAGTTGTTTGTTTGTTTTAATGTAGATATATTGAAAACCAAAAGTTTCCATTTTTCTCCTGTATAGGCTTCCCTCTGACTAATAAGAAAATTTTCCTTTCAGTAGAATATAATGGTATGCATTTACTTTGTCCCCCAGTGAATACACAGCAATCAGATAATTTGTTTGAAATACTCTAAATTGTTTGACTTCATTGAAAAAGCATCTATAATGATATGCTAGTCTCCAAGCAAGGCCTACAAAGCTTCCTAAATCCATAAGCAAGCTCTAGAGTATTCACAGCACATAACAGCCAATATCCTTGTAATTTTGTTCTAAGCCTGTAAAGCTGTTTTGTTCCATAATATTCTACTTAGAGAGTATTCTGAACAGTCACTGTAGCCTGGGCATTATTCAAGGATGTGACTCAGGTAATTCTACTTTAGTTTGTTTTCTTCATGGAAACATCTCTCTTCTATATTTTCAAAACATTAATCTAGAACATTTAATATAGCTTTGGGCTAAATAATTACCTCCTAATTTGAAATATAAATACTGGCAAAGGCAAATAAACAAGTATGGATGCATTTAAACAAAGAATTCTCTTACAGCTCATTTTATTAAGCATAGAGATTTCAAAAAGATTCAATTTCTCCCTCTGAATATAATATTCTCATGGAAATCTTAAAATATTAAAGGGTTTATCTATAAGGATGTCCACTAGATCATATTTTATAGCAGCAAAATAACTGAAAATAATAAAATTGTACAAAATACAAAATAGGTCAAATAACTTTCCATTGTATGGGAATTCATTATTTATGTGCCTTCTAAAGATAACAGTGTAGAAGAATATTAAAGGACATGGAAAAATGTTCACAGGATACTGCAAGACAGAAAAATGGAGCCTGTATCCATATTACACACACTCATACACACACAAGTATGTGTATGAATACATTCATATATACACACAAAAATATATATATATATATATATATATGTTATTATTTACAGGATGATCTCAATTTTTTTTATGGGCATGGAGTGTGAATGTACATGTATGTATGTGTAATAAACACACTTATAGGTCAAGTATAGGAAAAAGCCTGATAGAAAAGTTATTTGAATATTAAAAATATCACTTCAGAGAGTGATATTCTAGATTATTCTTCTTTAAGCTATTCTGTTTCTATAAACATTTTTATATTTCTTTCATAACCAGAAAAATGTTTTTATATAAAATATTCACTGTATCACCTAGGTATATACAGATGTGCACTAATGTGAAGTTCCAGCCTGGTGAGGCATCTAATCTGAGTGGCTAATAACCATCCCATATCAGTCATTGAATATTTTGATTATCACCCTGGGTATAAGCAACATTTAAAAGGTCAGTGGCACATCATAAATACATGCTTAAAGCAGATGATACAAATGATGAGCCACAATAGTATGGAAATCACAATAGGGCAAGGAGAGAATCTCACACTTAGAGCTGGACTAGCATAGAGTCTTCAAGAAAGGACATTCTGCAGCATTGCGACATACACCTAAAAACACAGATTTGAAAGCAAAGACATACATGTAAGCACCTGTAACACCTAAAGATTTCTCAGATCCCCTGTGCTTCTTTTTTCATGGAACAGTGTAAACATGCACTTGACTCTGCTGAAAAACTATATTTGACCAAATTTTACATGTCATTGAGTTCATTAAATGTATTTGCATTCAGCATTTCAATTCACTTTCTATTAACCAAACACAAGTGAAATACAAAAGAAAAAAAAATGTTTTGTGGCAAGATCAATTTTGACAACAGTATAGTTTTTACTTTTTTGCTTATCATTTTCCTAAAAGGATCCTATAATGCAAAAGTAAGAAAATGTAGCCCGATAAAAAAATTTTACATCTAGAGTGCATATATTTGTAAGTGTTTATAGACACTTCTAGCCACAGATAATAATTTTTTTGCTAATTTTTATATTACTCTTGAGGGAGGTGAGTAAATTTAATTTAGTGCTATTGTGAAGATAAGAAATCTGGCAAATTTTAAATTAACATGTCCATGTTCACACAGCAGGTTCATGACTGCAGATTTTCAAATCCATACTTGAATCACAGTAAACAATGCTCATACCTGAAAGGGAGAAAGTTCCTTTCTGGCTTTCACTTTCTCTGATTAGGAAGGCACCCGTCTGATTTTCTGAATATAGGAGCTGTCTTTCTGCATCTGCTCTTTTTATTGCTCCAAAGAACCACCTAAAAAGAGGGATATATAAACTTTAATTAACCAATCAACACTCATTTTTTAAGGATTAAGAAGCTTGGTAAAAAAGTATTCTAACATCAAAGACATTTGATATTCTTTAGTGAAACTGTTAATGGGTAAAAATGGTAGCTTTTGACACTTGAGATGATATTTCAGGATATCTGCAACCCATACCAGGATTCACAAACAAGACAAAGCAGGAATCTGGCTGATATCCCCTACCACATCCCTTCCCACATGAGCTGCATTCCAGGCTTTAAAATTACTCATAATCACCATCAACCTGTTCACTGCCTCACCTAACACCTAGGTGTTAGGAATCAAATATTCCAATCAAAGGATTCATTTTTTTCACATTAATATGCAAATGATTAAAAATATAGTTCTTCAGCTATTAAGTCCTTTCTTTCCCAACTCCATCAATATCCAACTCCACCATAATATGAGATAGTTTTGCATGTTTAGGAGGAATTTATTAATACAAAGGAAAGTTTAATCAGTATAGAGATAGTGTGAAAAACATACTTCAGCCTGGGAAGTATCTTAGTACCATCTCCAGTTCTTGTCTTTACCCTTTTATCTTTACCATTCCAGAAATATGAGTAAGATGCTGAACACTAAAGTTTGTGCATGTGATCAACCCCAACAAAGAATTATGGATCTTTAATATCAGAGCCAGTCTAAAATGTGTGTCAAGTCAGTAAGAACCCATGTGATCTAATAATAGGAAGCTGAGAATGCCTGCTTTTCACAAATGGCTCCTCACGGTAAGGCCATAAAGATTATTATTAAAGATTTTAGGTAAAACATTGATATTTTCAGATACCAGCTTTAAAAATTAAACACCCTAAGAGAGGAAATGCAGGCTTCAGGGAAGAAAGACAGGCTGGGAGAGGAAATTAAGGCTATCACATTAGCTCAAACTTGATTGACAGGTCATGGGTATTGCAGAATATCAGTGCACGAAGAGGGACACAATTGGAAGGAGGTTGGGGGGAAGATATTGAAAAGAGAGACATTAAAATATAAATATTACCTCCTAACAAATGCAAGATATTTGCATTTGCTTACCACTTTCCCAATTATCAAATTGTAAATTATATCACATTAACTATATCAGTTAATGCTAAGTCATCTTAGAATAATGAACAACTCTACAAATCTCAGTGGTTTAAGACAACAAAGAGTTATTTTTTTCACTCAGTTGCATGTCTATTAAAAGTCTTCTGGAGATCTGGTCTATGTCTAGCTTATTTGGATAGTTTCTGTCTCCATGCTTCCATGATTGCTGAGCCAGGATTGGAAAATGTGGCAAATCAAGGCTGGTGTCTTGAGCTTCTGTTTAAAGCTCCTACTCAGGAATAAACCCATTGGCAAATAAGTCACATGGTCATGCCTAAATGCAAAGAGAGCAGAAAGTGTAATCCCATCATTTTCCAGAAACATTTGGTAGACTACACTAATGACTACCACACTGACTCAATATCAGGGGACAAACTCATGTCCATAAACTATTGTTTGTCCAACTGAAACCATAGAAGACATCAAAACATTCTGAAGTGGTCATGTATGAATTCATAGAAAAATAGAAATAGATGTTTTCTACTGTTGCTGAAATAAGTCAATAGAATATTAGAACATAATAAAAAACTCAAACACGCTGGCCAGTTAGCTGTTAGTTAGAGCATGGTGCTGATAACACCAAGGTCCATGATCCAATCACTGTATCGGCCAGCTGCCAAAAAAAAAAAAAAAAAAGTAATAAAAGAAACCCACACATATGAATGAGTGATGAAAGGATGGATTATTCAATAAATCATGCTGGTACCACTAATAATCCATATGGAAAAAAAATGAATGCTACCTATAGCATACATGATAATTCCACAAAGATTAAAGACCTAATGTAAAAGGCAAACTTTAAAACTTCCTGAGGACATTGGACTAGGGAAGTTTTCTTAGACAAGACCAAAAAGAAAAAGACATACAAGTCTTAAGGGAAAATATTGATGATATTTACTACATTGTCATTAAAAACTTCTGCACTAACAAGATTACCATAAAATAAAACTAAAATACAAGCCACAAACCTGAAGAAAATTAGTATTCAGATTACATTGAAACCTATAATCAATAAGAAAAAGACAACACAGTAGAAAAATTGGCATAGAATATAATTGGGAGCTCACAGAAAAGAAAAACCCAAGTAATTAATAAAAATAAGAAAAGAAGTACAGTAGCTATCTGTGCTGATAATGAGGAATATTAGAAATATTACATATAAAATCACAATGGAATACAATTCACACTTTTTTGGCTGGTCAAAATTAAAAGCTCTCACGTTATCAGACACTCGGAAAAATGTGAAACAAGAACTGTTATAGAATACTAGTGGCAATGTAACTTGGTACAACTAGTTTAGAGAGCAATTTGGCACTATCTGGTAAAGTAAATATTTGTATACTCCTCAATTTCACTTCTAGGCTATATGTGCTCAAGATATGCTACAAGAACATTCACTGAAGAACTCTAGCATTGAAACATTGGAAACAACCTAAATGTCCATCATAGGAGAATAAACAATATGGATATAAAATGGAATACTGTACAGAAGTAAAACTAATTGTTCCAGGATAAAAGGAAGTTGAGGAATGATACATACCACTGTAATATCATTTAGATAAAGTTTGAGCAAACACATTTTTAGAAAACTACATATTTTTATAGATACAAGTATGCTTAGTGAAAGTTAATGGTTAAAATACTCGGGCATTCTTTTAACCTCATTTCCAGAAGTGGCAAATTTCTTCACACAAAGATTTCAAGCAAAGAAGCAAGATGGATCAAATATACTGATCAACTCAATGTGTTTTCCTGATTCAACATATGTTGATTATGTATCAACATTAAAATGTTTGATCAAAACATAAATATGTAAACTTTTACAAGAATTACAATTTATCTAGAAATTAAATTCTTAGAGTTATGATACCTTCTATATCTCATTATTCTTAAAATTAAATACTCTATTATATAAGTTTTATGTGCATACATTATATTAGTATTTTGGATAATCAAGTCTATAAATGATTTATTTTCTCTGCCCAATATATGGATAAGAAGCAAGCAGTTTTCATAAATCAAATCATTAAAAATAAAGATAAACAATTTTACTACATTAGTAGAGGAACCCTATAGTAAATTTTTAAAAATCCTTTTCTGTGTCAACAATTTTGGATTTTATACAATAGATTGATACAGTCACTTTAAAAGGCAAATCACAACAGTATTAAATCCATAGTAACAATGAAATGGATATAAATATTTGACTAGATGCATCAGCTCACTTAATACCTGAAATTTTGCTTGGCTGAACTCCCATCAGGAAGTGAAGTATATAAATACAAAATTGTTTTCTGGATGAAGTGGCATTATAATGTCACCCTTCATGCTCAAAGATGAGGTAACCGCTACAGAATGCAACCTCTAAAGCATGCGCTGCTGTACGGAGTAATGGGAAAACAAGCGCTCTGTCCACCCTTTGCACAGGTGAAAAGTCTTCCTTAATTTGAGGTCTGAGCCATACACAGGATTGTTGCAGTCTTCACTTCTGCCTTTTAGAGCCCCTGTTGTCTCCATTCTGGAAGACACACACACTTCAGGTCCGGTTGTCGACTACAGTCATTTTCTATTTTTTTTTATTTACTTTTTTTATTTTTAAAAGATGACCAGTAGGGGGATCTTAACCCTTGACTTGGTATTATCAGCAAGCACTACGCTCTCCCAAGTAAGCTAACCGGCCATCTCTATATAGGGGATCCGAACCCATGGCCTTGGTGTTATCAGCACCACGCTCTCCCAAGTGAGCCATGGGCCAGCCCCATTTGCAACCTTCTCTCTGAGCTACAGTTCTCGTGTGAAGTAAACAGTGCATGAAGAAGGTATTAAGATATACTAAGCATCACAAAATCAATTAAAGACCTAAATTTAAGACCTGAAATTATGAAACTACTAGAAGACAACAGAAAATAGTACACAAAAGGGGAGTAGGCAGCGTTTTTTTGAAGGAGACTACAAAGGCACAGGCAACTAAAGCAAAAATGCTCAAATGGGACTACATCAAACTGAAAAGCTTCTGCACAGCAAGGGACACTAGCAACAAAGTGAAGAGACAACCTACAGAATGGGAGAAGGTGTTTGTGAACTACACATCAGACAAGGAGCTAATATCCCAGAATATACAAGCAACTCAAACAACTCAAGAGCAAAAAAACAAATAACATAATTAAAAAATGGACAAAGGACTTGAATAGACATTTCTCAAAGAAGACATACAAATGGCCAACAGGTACATGAAAAAATGCTCAAAGTCACTAATCATCAGAGAAATGCAAATTAAAACCACACTGAGATACCACCTCACTCCAGTCAGACTGGCTATAATCAAAAAGACAGAAAATAACAAATGTTGACAAGGATGTGGAGAAAAGGGAACCCTACTCCTACATTATTGGCGTGAATGCAACTTGGTACAGCCATTATGGAAAACAGTATGGAGGTTCCTCAGAGAACTAAAAATAGATCTACTTTATGACTCAACTATCCCACTACGAGGTATACACCCAAAGGAAAGGAAATCAATATATCAAAAATACACCTGAACTCCCATGTTAATCACAATGCTATTCACAATAGCCAAGTATGGAATCAACCTAAGTGCCCATTAATGAATGGATGGATTGAAAAAACCTGTAGTATATATACACAATGGAGTACTATTCAGCTATAAAAAGAAATGATATCCTATCATTTGCAGCAACATGGATGGAACTGGAAACCGTCACATTAAGTAAAGCAAGTCAGGCACCAAAAGACAAATACCACATGATCTTATTCACACATTGAATCTAAAAAAAGAAAGAAAGAAAGTGGTTCTCATAGAATTAGAGAGTGGAATAACGATTTTCAGAGGCAGAAAGGAGAGGAATGA